TGGATCGTCCACTGGAGTCCAACCGCGGTACGTTTGATGAATAACGTATCCAATTCATATATACCCATTAGAGTTTCTTGACATACGTTTCAGGTGGGCTAAGTGTAATTATCGATACCACAGGGACCTTACAGTTATTTAAGCTTACCTCAGGGGGGTGTGTGTAATTTACCCTAATAATAATAATAATATGTCTGTCAATTCCAAAAATCAAATCCACTTTAATCCTACCCGCATGCAAATGCAAACCACTAACCAACCATTCTTTATTACATCCTTTGTATGATTACTTCTATTGTCCCTTTGTCCTCTGTCCTATTTTTTCTTTTTCTTTTTTTCTTTTTGGGCGTTAGTAAGTCTCTTTCTACTTTGTGAATCTTGTTTTCCATTTGTGCAAACCAGCACGTGGAGTTGGCCAATAATGGTGTCCCCTTTCTCTCTCTACATGTACCTCTCACTCTTTCAATCATCATCTTCAATCCAAAGATGCTCAGACAACATCTCAATCAAAACCCCTCCTCCCATTATTTCGAATTTCTCCGATTATTTCACTGTCAAGAATTCGCACAGTTTCGTTAGTGTTTACGTGCGCGGTTCGCCATTGAATGAATTCGTTATCGGTGTTTGTTGTTATGCATAACCTCCGTGAATGTTTATAACCTCCAGATTTATAAAGAAAATTTTGATGATATGATTAGATAATCCACATGCCTATACTATATCAATAATATAAACAAAAACGAAAAAACGAAAAAACGAAAAAAAAATCATTCGAGAATCTATCAATGTGCGGAAGAACTTGATCCCGGTGTATTCACACCTTGTTGCGCATTACCGAATCTCTGCAACTGCGTCATCCGTGCGTATATTCCATCTGGATAATTCTTCACTAGATGGGAATGCGAGCCCTGTTCCGCTACTTTCCCGTCATCAAGAACCGCAATCACGTGCGCGTTTCTGATTGTCGATAATCTATGCGCGATCACGATTGTTGTTTTTCCCGCACAAGCCCGCTCGAGGGCCTCCTGTATGCACCTCTCCGATTCCGCATCGAGGGCGCTCGTGGCTTCGTCTAGCAACATTATCTCCGGTTTTCTCAAGAAAGCACGTGCTATTGCCACCCGTTGCTTTTGCCCTCCGGACAATTGTACCCCTCTTTCCCCGACGAACGTTTTGTACCCGTCCGGCAAGGAGGATATGAACTTATGGGCGTTTGCTAGTGTCGCCGGCTCGATAATCTCTGCCTCGGTGGCAGATTCGTGGCCGTAGGATATGTTGTCGTAGATCGTGGTGGCGAATAGGCATGGCTCCTGTGGGACCACCGCCATGTGGCGTCTCAGCGACTTCAAATTGTACTTTCGAATGTCCTTCCCGTCAATCATCACACGTCCGGACGAGGGCTCGTAGAATCTCTGTATAAGAGAGACGACCGAGCTTTTGCCAGACCCGCTGGGCCCCACGAGGGCCAGCGTCTTCCCAGCCCGGGCCCGAAGGCTCAAGTCACGGAAGATCAGTACGTCGGGCCGGGCCGGGTACGAGAAGTCGACGTGCTTGAATTCCACCTCGCCGCGTAGGCGGTCGGGGAGAGGGGCAGAGTCTTGATCATCCGGCTCGATTTCGGTTTTCCGGTCGATTAGGTCGAAAACGGAGCGCATTGCACGGCCACCCTTGATGAAATCGGGGGCGAGGGTTAAAGTTTCGGCGGCACCGTTGGCAGAAACCATGAGGACCATGAAGACGCGGATCGTGCTCGAGAAATCGGAGATTCCGTGCTTCACGAGCCAGGAGGCGTACCACAACCCTAATGCGTATGAGGCGTAGAGCAAGAATTGCGCGATCCCGTAACCGCTTCCGGCTATTTGCCCCTTCCAAAAGCAACGGCGGAGCGGAGTTTGCAGGCTCGACGTGAAAAGTCCGACGATTTTCGCCTCCGAATTGAAGGCAGCGACAGTCCTCATATTGGCCACCGCTTCCCCCGCCAGCTGTGTCGCCTTAGCGTGCGCCGCCTCTAGGTCGCCGGAAAATCCGGTCATGAACATTTTCTGTTTTTTTTTTTCCCAAAAAGTCAAAGATTTTCAATCAATAATTAAAAAGAGGTAACCCGTAACGTAACTCAAAAAATAATTATAAAAAAAAACCTGCAGAACGGTAGCAGCGACAACGACGGGAAAAACGGCGACAAGAACTAGAGCGAGGCGCCATTGAAGAACAAAACCAGCTGTGCATGCAACCAACATAAGAGCGGAGTTCTGCATTATAACGGAAATTCTATCTCCGATTGCCGATCGCACATTATTGGCATCGAGCGCCAGCCTGGCGGAAACCCTAGAGCTCTCATTCTCCTCTTGATCGAACCATGCCATCTCGTTTTTCAGCACAGCCTCGAGCATCTTCTCTCTCACGCGCTTCGTCAGATTCTCTCCGACGGTATCCCAAAAATAGTGCTGCAACGTGTTGAATATAAGTGCCGCCGAAGAAACTCCGATGAGTAAATAGCAATATTTCGCGATTTCTTTAATCATGAACTTGTGGTCTGGATTGTAGTACACGCTGAGAACTGCACTTAGTACGTACGCGAAGAACGCGCTTAGAGAGCCGCAAATAACGGAGCCTATGGAGCCGATTAGAGCGTGGACCCACTCGGGAGAATTCATTTTCGCGAGACGTAAAAACGAGCTCGCCTGCTCTTTGAAGGCGAGCTTCTCGTGGCGGTAATTAGGGTATGCTGTGTCTAGTGAGAGGCTGAAATCGGACGTGGAGAAATCAGATAATCTTCTTGAGTACGGCGATCGGCCGTACGATGAGTTCCGTGTGATTATCGGTGAACTCACTGAGTTTCTTGCACTTGAAGGCCTGCATTGGATTATAAAATTTACGCATATCAATGTAATAAAGTTATCGGGTTTAGGGCTCGTTTGGTTGGATTATAAAACGAGCCCTTATCTTCCTAGTCCAATCATACAATCTTATCTCGACTAATTCTATTCCAGCAACCAAACGAGGACTTACTGAATTCAAATTCAAGTGTCGAAATAAAATAAGATTCAAATTATATTAATATTATTACCTTGCGCTGCTCTTTCGAGAATTAGTAATAGAAGCTTCGTGAGCTGCTTCTTGCATTCGGATTAGCTTAGCGTAGACGCTATTTTCGCCTCGAGCGATGAGGTCATCGTGGGTCCCGATTTCCGACACGCTGCCTTGCTGGAGTACAGCGACGAGGTCAGCTTTTCGGATTGTGGACAGTCGATGCGCAATCACTAGTGTAGTTCTTCCGATCATGAAACGGTCAAGTGCCTCTTGCACGAGCTTCTCCGATTCGGAATCCAATGCACTAGTCGCTTCGTCCAATAACAGAATAGCTGGATTCTTCAGCATTGCTCTGGCAATAGCAATTCTCTGTTTTTGCCCGCCCGAGAGCTGCAAACCTCGGTCACCTACCTGTCGTTTTATCAAATTAAATCCGAGGTTAATTTTTTTATTTATTAAATAATTATTTGTATCTATAAATTTTTTACTGAATTTTTTTCTTGTTTTCTACATTATGATATTAATAGGAACATGACCAAACACCTGCATTGCACATGCATTGTTTTGACTGAAACCATGTTACCTATTTTTTATTTATTAATTCATTTTTTTATTTATTTAAATGCATGAACAAACAATTCCCACAATTTTGACTTGAATAAAAAAAATTAAAATGTTGGTATTGTTTTGTTTGACCAAATCTCCACAAAACCCCAAATGAAATAATATATCTGGACAACTTGTGGCTAAGTACATTGCATAATTAATGATTTATTAATGGTAATTAATGTTTTATTTTAATTATTCAAAAAAGAAAAAAAGGAAGTAAGCTAACCTGAGTATCATATCCATCTGGGAGTTTAACAATGAATGAATGAGCATTAGCAACTCTTGCGGCTTCTTCGACTTCGATCGAACTCGCGTCGGGCCTACCTAATAATATATTTTCTTTAATCGTCGTCGCGAAAAGTGCCGGTTCTTGGCTCACAAGCCCGATTTGCTGCCTCAGCCATTTCAATTTAAATGTTTTTATATCATGCCCATCCAGCATTACTTGTCCTGTGAAATTTCAAGATTAATAATTAAAAAAAATAAAAAAAAAATTCAATGTCAAGATTGAGAAATTACTATAATACCTGAAGCAGGATCATAGAATCTCTCGATGAGGGACACAACCGTACTTTTACCAGAGCCGCTGCTTCCGACTAAAGCTATCGTTTTTCCGGCTGGAACAGAGAGCGAAAAGTTGTTGAGGATTTGAATATCCGGTCTCGAAGGGTACGAAAAGTCGATGTTTTGGAGATTTAATTGTCCGGTTATGGTTTCTAACTCCAAACCCGATTCGTTATTTCTGTCTACGCTCGGTTTGTGGTCGATAATTTGGTAGATTTTTGCCGCTGCAACTTTTGCCTTTGCAAATGCAGCCATACTTGGAGCTGATTGCCCCAAAGCCCTATTACACAATTAACAAAGATCATTTTTTTAATTCAAGAAACAATTTTTATTTTTTTAATATCAATTGAAGATCAAAGGTTGTAATAAAACTTACAGCCCACCGATCATGACGGCGAACATTGTCGAAATTGCGAGACCGCCATTAGTGAAATGGTGCCGAACTAAGTAACCGCCGTACCATAGGAGAAGTGCGTAGCAGCAAAAGACTGTGAAATAAGTTGCTCCTAATCCCAATCCTTTGGCTAATCCGATTTTGTATCCGATTTTCTGGGCTACTCTTAGAGACGAAGAATACGATTGTAATGCTCTCGATTCGCCGACGTATGCTAACACGGTTCGAATTTGAGCTATTGTCTGTAATAAGACATTGCTTAATTCAGACATAAAACAAGGGAAAAACAGAACAAAGTGTGTAATAAGTTCGATTTTTTATCGGGCACCTGTTCAGCTATATTTCCAGCTTGAGATAGAGCATCTTGGCTCTTGCCGGAAAGTTTGGCTAATGTGGTGGTGTGGATGCCTCCGATTATCGCTATGAGCGGCACCACCGCTAGAGTGACCAGTGCTAACTGCCACACCGCCGTAAAACCGACAACAAATCCGGACACAAATGTCGCCATGTAGTGCAAGAAGTTTCCCAACTGAAAAATCAATTCAACAACAACAACAACAAAAAAAATATATATCAAGAAACATTCAATCTGAATTTTTATTTTTCAAGAAAACCGAGGTTCTGCGTTCTTGATCACCTTTACGCTAATGGCGTCTTGGACCATAACGGCATCGGTGTTAATGGCAAAAACAACGTCGGATGTACGAACATCGGTGTCGAAGTACTGAATATCTTGATTCAAAGCAGCTTCTAAATATTTGATCCTCATCTTCGTCGATTGTCTCTCTCCGGTCCACATCCAGCACGATATCTCTGCATAACCCCAAATCCAAAAAATCAAACCTCGTACCAATCGAAAAAAAAAATAAAAAAAAATCAAGATTCAGAGTAAAGATCGAATTTTTTTTTTCCCCACCTGCCCATGAAGAAGCCCATATCGCAGCTCCCACAACAAGAAAGTAAAACGCATACTGCAAATATGAAAAATCATCAACCATCAAAACACAGATAAAGAAAACCCGAAAACCCGAAAACCGGAAAACCCGAAAGAAAGAGTAGTTACCTTCAAAACTTCTTGAGTCATCTTATCGAGATTATCAGCATTGGAGCCAAAAGAATTAACAAGATCAGCAAAGAATCTAAGGAACAGAGGCAACGAGCTCCCATGAACAACCGCTCCAACTGTACCAACCGTCATCAGAAAATAGTCCAGCCCATCTGCAAACCTGAACAGCTCCCCAATCCCGACTGACGGCGGCGATACCGGCTTCTCCGGCTCTCCAACGCCGTCTTTCTTCCCATCAGAGGTCGAAACCTCCATCTCCGGCGACGGAAAATCTAATTGTACTGGTTTGACCTCTGCAGTGGGGGTTCCTGCAGTAGGTGCAGTTGAAGTGTGGATGTTAATGTGGTTGGGAGCTTTAATAGAAGAAGAAGAATGGTGGTTGTTGTCAGATGGGGTAATATCTGACTGAGCTGACACAGCGAGTTCGAGGTCTTCGATTTCAGACCATCTCCACTGCTGCTCTATCTTCTTTATCTCCTCTAAATCTTCTTGTCTCATTTTTTTAATATTATTTTTTTAATATATATTTTTTTTTTGGCAATTTACAGCAAAAACAAATTCAACCCCCACTACTTTTGTTTTCCCACACTCTGTAAATACTTTTTTTAATTTACATAATTACATATTGTTTTTTACAGTACAGTAGGGGGTAGGGGGCCGGGTGGTGGTTGCTTTTAGCTGCATAAGTAAAAAACACACACACACGCACAAGTGACACAAAATTGACAGTGATGGGCATCGCCATGAGTGTGTGTGAGAGAGAGAGAGAGAGCTTTTCTTTTCTTTTCTTGTCTTTTTTTTTTCTTTTTCTTTTTTTCTAAATTGATCAGTAGAGAGAGAAAGAAGAGAGAGAGAGGGGTAGGTTTGGCATCCGACAAAGAATACTAGTGTGTGTAAACTTGAGATTGGGTTTTTGACCAAAGACAGATTCCCATGATTATACTGTGCATGTATGGGCTTCGATATCCGACGGCTCAGATTCAAATTGGCAGACTTACGTAAAAAAAAAAATTAAGAAATTGAAAAACTATTGATAATTTTGATCGGAAATGTTATGGTAACAAAAATGGACGTTCTAAAAATTGGAATTTGAAAACTTGTTCAAACAAAAAAAATCGAAATCCAGTCAAAATTAGTATTAATTTTTAATTTAAAATTGGATCAGATACATTCCAAAAATCTATCAATTTTGTTCCAAAAAAATTTAGAAACATCAGAAATCAGAATTAAAAGATTTTGGAATAAATAAATATATACTATGTTTTTGAACAAATAAATGTGAAATACAGACATTTATTGTATAAGGAATGAAATAAATAAATAAAATATGTATTTTACAATTATGAATTTATGACAACTATAAACATTTATGTCGGAGTATAATTTAGTTGGACCAATAAATTTGTGCTCAAATCTTTACTTTGAGGGTTCTCCAACAATAAATTTAGCAGTGATTTTCAATTTTTATTTAAAATACCTTTATTTTTATTTATTTATTATTAATAATAATAATAATTGTTACTACCTTGACCAAAGTTAAATATTTGAGATGAAAAATGGTACGAAAGTCAATGTTCAAACTATTCCTCGTTGTCCGTCTCCTATAAATACGGCGGTATTTCTTGTACTTCAACCATATACTTCTTTCAATTTTCCTTTTTATTTCACCCTTGTTATAAGGTCAAATTACGAAAACTCCCCTAATGTTTTGAAAATTACAATCAGCCCTTTAACTATTAATCTTCTTACAAAATAAAGCATTATTCGCTGTCTTTTATTAATGAATGACCATAATAATTTAGTTTTCTGACAAAATAATTGATTACATATATCCAGGTGGTGTAATGTACTTGCTTGATCCCTTTAATGGTGGAAGTCTGTGGTGTATTACCTGACAAATTCGAGCTTATATATTAAATCGTTTCAGGACAAAAATTTAGTGGAAAAAAATGAATTGGATTCAATTATATATTTACTTTCTGATGTGTTCTTATTATTTTTTATTTTTTTTTAATATATATTAATTGCAGAAAAATAATGTTGGAGCACCTCACTAAATATAATCAGCTTAACGACAATTGAGGCTTAAGCATACATGTTGTCATTTTTTATTTAATTAATTATTCGAGTAAGTAAATGTTGATTAAATTAATGATGATAGTAAATTTATTAGTACTTATTATTTTCAGCTATGGACTGGTCAAGTAAACTTGGATCTGATTTGGTATCTGAAAAATCTAGCATTGTTTTGGTAAAGGGCAAATTACAAAGACCCCCTGAGTTAAAGTCTAATTACGAGAAAAAGCCCTCATTGTTTGTATAATTATGAATACATCCTTGAAACTTAATAATTGTCTAAAATACCCATGTGTTAAAATAATTAAAGGGAAAATTGCAATTTTCACCCCTCAAGTTTGCATTAATTTCACATTTGATCCCCTATGTTCACAAAAAACACATTTACTCCCTCATGTTTCAATAATTTAACATTATTGGTCATTTTCGTCAATTTATCGTTAGTCTGTCACTTAAGTTATTGATGGACATAGGCTTGATTCCGTTAGTTTTAACGGAAATAACTATAAAGTGTTGAATTTTAAAACATGAAGAACCAAATGTGTTTTTTGTGAACATGAATGACCAAATATGAAATCGATGCTGATGTGAGGGACTAAAACTGTACTTTCCCTAATAATAAAATGAAAGAAAGAAAAACCATCATAAGTTCTTACTCATACAATATAAAAGAGTTAAATGCAAATACACCCCCTGTGTTAATTCTAAAGACCAAAAACCCCCCCGGGATAAAAAAAGTGACAAAAACCCCCCTGACAAGTATTCAAACAAGCATACTCGACCCATTTTATTTTTATCCGTTGACCGCTCGTGAAAAGACGAGTAAACCCTTGGATAAATCTGTCCAACCACAAAAATTTTATGACCCAAATGAAGTTGTTAAAATTTTCAATTCAGTCCCTAATACTTTCAATTATACCCTCTTCCCCAAATCAAAAAAAACACACAGACACAAAAACACACACTTTTTTTTTAATTCTCTGCTCACCTCACTCACCCCACCCCACCACTGTCGTCGCCGGCTCCGTTCATGGGCTGAAACCTCTCTCCGGCAACCAAGCTTCTCAATCCCTAACAACAACGAATTCCCTCTCAACTCAAAATTTCTTACAAAATTATTCCAATAAAAAGAAAAATCCAAAATTATGATCCAAAATTTCAACACCATTACACGTCGTCCCGCAACAATAAACCTTCTTCTCTCCTATATATATATATGTTGTAAAGTATCATGCAATAATATGTTGTAATGTTTGGAAGCGAAGACATGAGCACTTTACCGAATAGTCAATGGTAAACATAAATGGGAAAATGCTGTAATTGTTACAGCTTGGATTGGGAACTAGGAAATAAATTTTCATAATCGAAATGGTATTTCACGATTTCCACTTTGAACCTTACTGATTGTATTCTTCCAAAACATTAATTCCAGATTTCTCCACTTATGCATTCCGGGTTGGCTATTGTCGTGGTTATTGTTTGAGATTTCCGGCGAACCGACGGCCTTGGCAGGAGGGGAGATGGGTGGGGTGGGGCAGATTGGGTTGGGAAGAAGATGATGGGTGGCTTTGTACCCCATTTTCATTTTTTTTCTTCTTTCTGAATATGTTAAAATATAATTTATATTTTTTTCATTTTATTTGTTTAAATTTAAATATTATTAAAAATTCATATTTGTATGCCATTTTAATTTTTTTTCCTTTTTAATATGTTTAAATATACTTTATATTTTTTCATTTTATTTGTTTACATTTAAATATTATTAAAAAATCATGAGTAGTTTAATTGTTTCATGAGTGTTGATTCAGAGGGGTAATTTTGTCCTTTCACGCATAAAATGTACAAAAATCACACAAGTAATTGCACATACAGCGAGTGAGTGACACGCACAAAGATTAGGGGGGTGTATGGCTTTGACTATTGATTACAGGGGGATTTTTGTCACTTTTTTTATCCCAGGGGGGTTTTTGGTCTTTAGGATTAACACAGGGGGAGTTTTTGCATTTAACTCCAATATAAAACCTTACACATAACCCCTTATGACACAACAACGGCTTAGACAACAATAAATAAAAATAAAGGTTTTAAAATTAAAATATTAAAAAAATTCAAGCTTTCAATTAGACACCTAAGGGTATTCTCGTCATTACAAAGTGGATATTGCATGTAATTACTGATTCCATTATCTTTAACTCGGTGAATGTAAATTCGTTAGATGGAGGGGTTGCTCGTAATTATGCTAGTATTTTTTTTAGCCTTCAAAAGTTGTTCGCTTTAAAATAAAAAACCTAATTTTGGATTAATTCTTTTTTCAATAATGTTAATTGAAGCAACAAAAATTGAAGCAGATATTGTACCCTGAAGTGACATACTAGACCAGACTGTAGTTTCGTGTAAGTTAGTGTCTAATTTTGGAAATACAGAAATACTCAGGGTGAAAGTAATTTCTGACTCATCAATTTATGTGTAGCCTTTTCATCTGCCATTTAATAGTAAGAATTTAACAAGTGGGTCCCCACAATTTTGATTTATTAATGTATAACGTCTAAAATGAGATAATTAGATTAAAGTTTTATTTAACGCTTTCTAATAATATATATTTGTTTCCACTTTTACCCTTTACATGAATAAAGTTCAAACTATGAAAAAAGTGTCGATTCTCCTTTTCGTGAATTGGGACTGGGAATAAAATAGTGTTACAAATCATGAGGGTAGGGCTGTCAACATATATAGAAGCATAAAAAAATGTTGCAACTGAGTCTGTGTCAATTGACCAAAATTTGAATCCTCCTATCAACGTTTGTTAGGTCGAACTTGTCACATATGGTTGATTAACATAGTGTAGTTTATGTCTCTCGTATGGTTAGCAAGCTTTTAATACGAAAGTGTAGGTTTAACAAAATTAGCTGCGGGTTCCTTCATTAAAAAAAAAACGTAAAAGTTGATAAAATAATGTTAAACATAATTTAATTACAATTTAGTTTGATGCCTTATCTTACTTTAATATTAGACCCATTTTCTTCTTTTCACCGTTTTAATCAATTTGGCAATTTCTTTTTTATTTGTTTTGATAATGCTAGTATTAGGAAGGAAATTCTAGGAGAATTAGGAAGGAAGTTCGTTGGCAACCACCAGAGGCAGATTTGGTGAAGCTGAATTTTGACGCCTCTGTCAATGCCGTCGATGGAGTGTGCGGTCTTGAAGTGATAGCTCGGTCGGAGTCCGGAGAGTGTGTTGGTTGGCGTACAAAATGCATTACACAACATCTTGAACCAACCGCGGCTGAAGCTAAAGCAGCTTTAATGGCGATTGAACTGGCTCGAGATAACAATTGGCAGAGGATTGTACTTGAAGGGGACTCGAGTGTTGTCATCGCCGCGGTCAGAGAATCAAATTGCAACGCAGACTATGGCACGATTGTTAGTGATATTATCCGAATAGGTTCTACGCTAACGGTGTTCAGAGCCCAACATATCGCTCAGGAAGGCAATAAGGCGGCGCACGAGATTGCAGGATTATCGAAAAATGAAACTTATGACATGTTAGTATTACCTGACAGTATTTGTTCTATTATCTCTGCCGATTTGGCTTTATAAATGAAGTTTATTTTGTCTAAAAAAAAAAAAAAAAAAAGGAAGATAATGCTAGTATTTTAGAAATTTGTTTAACATTGTAGTGGGACATAGTAATATTGAATATATATTATTTATTGATAAATATATTCAGTATTATGATTCGAGTTTATTCAATTGGGCTTGAATCGAACTTTGGTTACCTATTATATTTTGTAGATTATATTGGGCCCATGTCACATTAGTTATTTAGTTTAAGGGTAAATTACAACCAGCCCTGAGGTGTGGTCAAATTACGAAAATCCCCCTCTTGTTTGGATAATTACAACCACCCTCTCAACTCATTAAATTTAGTGGAATGTTCGAGAATATATGGAATATTATTACTTTTGTACCCGTTTTATCTTATTCGAACTCTACATTTTGAAGCAAGATGATCGTAATATGTGTTTTTTGGCTGGTATATATCAGATCGTGGTGCATTAGAAACTGTATTTTACATAAAATGAGTACAAACTAGAGCGTATTTCACAGGATCTAGATGATTATGTTGAATTTGACACCATAAGGGTGGAGGTGTAAGAAAAAAATCGTAGTTGAGGGGTAGATGTAATTATCCAAACAAGAGGAGTTTTTTCGTAAATTGACCATACCACAGGGAGTGTTTGTAATTTACCCTTAGTTTAAATAAAATAATGTAGTATTACGTGGAGTTAGGTGTAAATAAAAGAAAAGTGGGAGCCGGTGGTTTAATACTCATATCAGGAGAATTGATTAGCACTTAGTCATCATTAATAACAAATTAGAGACTAATCACCATAATTTGGGGGGATTTGTGTGTGTTTTGGGGGTGGGGTAGTTAGTATAAGTCAAAAAAGGTGTTCTCTCTCTCTCTAAACATGATTAGTTCTCTAAACATGATTAGTGTTAATGTAGAGGGAAATTAGTTTAAAAACAAAACACAATAATTAAAAAGCAAAAAATAAATAAATAAATAAATGAAGATCACTTATGAAAAGCTAAGCATGTGAATGTTCATTATGGTATTCCGTTGTCTTGCTTGTGATGAAGTGTTACTTTTCCTATTTAATTTTGCTTATGAAATTACTAAATTGCCCTTAATAGTAATAATAAAATGGTGGGCCTTCGGAACGAAGAGAAGCCCAAGGTGAAGGAAAATTCGTCAAAGAAGAAGCCTAACTGTTTTAAGAGACTTGGAAAAGGAGTTACGGGAAGAGTTTTTCTAGTGTTAGCATTTAAACGGCCAAGCTAGTCGGGTTAAGTGGAAAATGATATATCTAGGCCTCCTTAAATTTGTAAATTTATAGAGAAACTCCTTATGTTTGAAAAAGTACATCCAGCTCCTTGAAATATGTAATTTTGTTACATTCATCCCTACAAAAGGGTATAATGTACAAGAGTAATCTACAAATTACAGGAGTTATAATTATAGAACATGAGGGGTATAATTAGTAAATAAACCTTAACTCTGGGAGTTGGTTGTAATTACCCTTTTATGTTTATTCGAAAACCGTGAAATTTAAAAAAAAAAAAAAATTATTCCAATTTCTACCTCTACTATAATGAGTTTATC